CCCCCCCGCAGGTATCAAAGCAGGAGGAATTCTTCAACCTCTCGCACTGCCAGCTGGTGACCCTGATCAGCCGGGACGAGCTGAACGTCCGCTGCGAGTCGGAGGTTTTCCACGCCTGCATCAACTGGGTGAAACACGACTGTCCCAACCGCCGCCTTTACGTCCAGGCTCTGCTCCGCGCCGTCCGCTGCCATTCCCTCACCCCCCACTTCCTCCAGATGCAACTCCAGAAATGCGAAATCCTCCGCTCCGATTCCCGGTCCAAGGATTACCTGGCGCAAATTTTTCAGGATTTGACCCTTCATAAACCCACCCAGGTCTTACCCTGCCGTACCCCCAAAGTGGGGCAGCTCATTTACACGGCCGGCGGATATTATCGTCAGTCTTTGAGTTATTTGGAAGCTTACAACCCCCGGGACGGATCGTGGATCCGTTTAGCCGATCTTCAGGTTCCTCGGAGCGGTTTGGGGGGTTGCGTGGTGGGGGGGCTTTTTTACGCTGTGGGGGGACGGAATAATTCCCCCGACGGGAACACGGACTCGGCCGCCATCGATTGTTATAACCCCATGACCGACCAGTGGTCCCCCTGCGCCCCCATGAGCGTCCCCCGCAATCGCATCGGGGTGGGGGTCATCGACGGCATGATTTACGCCGTGGGGGGGTCGCACGGATGCATCCATCATAGCAGCGTGGAGAGGTAAGGGGGCGGCGGCGGGGGGGGGGGGGAAGGGGCTGGAGGTGAATTGGGGTGATAACACAAGCACTGGGCTGCCCTTGGGGGGGCTAAGCTGCCGGGGAGGGGGCCCAAATCTCCCATCCGGGAGCCCAAATCTGCCCCTGGGGCTGGTAACGTGAGCCCTGATCTGCCCTGGGGGGGCAGGTTTGCCTGGGGGGACCCAGATCTGCCCCCAGGGAGCCCAAATCTGCCCCTGGGGCTGATAACACAAACCCTGATCTGCCCCGGGGGGCACAGATCTGCCTGGAGCAGGGCACAGAGCATAATAACACACTGTTCTGCCCTGGGGGGGCACAGATCTGCCCCAGAGCCAATAACAGAAGCCCAGGACTGCCCTGGGGGGGACACAAGTCTGCCCCAGGGCTGACAATAAACACATTATTTACCCCTGGGGGGCGCAGATAACACAAACCCAGCCCCGCAGGGGGTCCTTAGGGGTCTTATTGGGGCCTGCACCCCCCCATGGGTGCCAGGACCCCCCCCCCGCAGTGCTCAGAC